GGCAGAGTCTGCAAGGTGACAGCATGGGTGTGGCCAGGCCCGATGGTGGCCCCCTACACAACCCTCAGCAGCACCCCAACCCTGGGGCACAGGGGGCGGGCATGCGTCCACTCCCCATCCCCCGCCCCCTCCCCCGGCAGGGTGCCGAAGCGAGAAATGGGCAGGGACACATTAACCGGTGCGACCCCACAATTAAAGCTGCCGTTGTTGACCATGGTGAGAGCAGCTCTGCCTGCCAACACCAGCCGCCATCACGTCTCCCCGCTGCCGGCTCCCCCCAAGTGTTTATTTAAGCCAACACATTGCTCTGCTAATTGGATAACATTCCATGTGAAAATAGACCTTTTAAAACAACAGCAGCGGCGGCAAATAAAACCAGCTGCAACTGCAAAAGTACAAAGGCGCGGCAGGCTCGGGAAGGGAAAAATTAAAGGCGCATGCATGGGAAAAAAATTAATATTCTGGTTTCCGGGCTGCGAGGCCGTTCTTCGCATCCTTTCCCTTCCGGGCCGCCCTTCCCTTCCTCCTCCAGGACCAGCCTGCTCTGGGCAAAGAGAGAGGAGGTGGCGGCTGCGGAAAGAATCCCAGTGGCTACCAGGGGCCCCTCCAAGGCCAGGTGGCTGTTGGGCCCGGGGGTCTGAAAGCTGACACGTGTGCTGGTGGGGCTGATCCTAGGGTGCTCACTCCTTCTCTGGATGTGGGGGCGGGGGGGGCTCATTTCAGCCTGGGCGGGCTCCCAAGAGATGCTCTGCCCCCCCACCCCCACCGAAACGTCTCTAATTGGCAAGCCCCTCTCTCTGCTGGGTGCTGGAGAGAGGAGGGGCTGACGCTCAGTGTAAGTGAGCAAGTGACCGTGAGGGAAAGCCCTGGACGCATGGCTTCGGCATCTGGTCGGCACGCGGGCCGGCTCTGCCCAGTCCTGGCTGCATGACCCCAGGGGCCAGTGACTTCACCCCTTGGAGCCTCAGTGTCCTCAGGCGTCAAATGCCACCCACCACTTACCTCCTGGAGTCCTGGGAGGAAGAAGAGTGACGAACGCAAATGCTTAGCACCCTCCCTGCCAAAGACAAGCTTTGAGAAGTTGACAGTTTTGATCAATGCCAAGATGCTGCCCTTCTAGAAACATCAAGATCCAGAGAGCCATGTGGCGCCTGAGACAGGGAGAGAGCCGTGCATGTGAGCGCAGACCCAGGCTACCCAGGGAAGACCACTGCATCTGGGACGGTTCTAGTCCTTGACTTCCAGGCTTCCCTCGTCAGCCTCTGTCCCAGCCCCCTCCACCTCGAGGAGGGAGGTTCTTTGAGAAACATCAGCTCATCACCCCTGGAGTTTTAGGGAACTCTGGCACTTTCGGAGGGACTGACACTTCCTGGCCTGGACATCAAGGGCCAACGAGCATCCTAGGATGGGGGAATGTGCCGGCTTCCTGAGCCCGTGAGCCCGTGATGAGGGGAGACGGGTCTCCTCCAGCGCAGTGCCTCGGCCCTGGAGCCAGGGCTGGGCTTCCTGTTGGTGCACAGGGATCAGTCCACAGGGATCGGTCCACGGGGCTCCGCAGCGGCTGCACAGATGGACGGAGCTCGGCGGCCGTGGGGAGCCACGGGGAGGGAGTGATGCAAATCTCCCGCCCAATTCCCGGGGCTGCTGCAGGTTGGGGCGAGACAATGCGTGCGCGGTGTACATGTCACATACAAAGCCAGCACGATCGGTCGCGGGAGCCTCTGGCTATTGTCATCAGTTGCCTGGTTACTCCGAGCTCTGCCACGACAGCCTCCGTGGAGTCTCATGCCAGGAATCTCTTTCCAGTTTGGGGGTGTGCGCTTGACCCAGAGGGGCCTGACAGATAACAAAGTCCCTGATCATGTGCGGGTGGGACACGGTGTTGCGGAGAAAGGTCGGAGGACTCAGTGCGTGGCGCAGGGGCGGCGCAGATGGGCACGTGTCGGGGCCCCAGCAGACGGCAGTGCAGAGGGGCTGCCTCTAGGGACCAACCGGGGCCTAATTCTCTCCTCTGACAGCCGATGAATGGGCTGGTTGATGCTGGGGAAGGAGCACTGTGCTGGGAGCCGACACACCCAGGTTCAGGCCCCAGCCCCACCCGGAAACTGTTAGTTCCTCCATCGCTTTCCAGACTCATCGCTGTGTAGTGCGCTGTTCATGACCCCCTCCCGCCTCGCCCCTCTCCCTCACATCTGAGCACTGCCCAGGTCCCCGGGAATGGGGGGGGAGGCTCCAACACCAGGTTCAAGGGTTGCCGATGCCGAGAGTGATGACCTCCATCTCCGCAAGGGCGTCCTGCCAGGCAACGGGAGTGAAGCCCCCGGTGAGGGATTCGCGTGGGTCAGGGAATCAGTCAAGCCCTGAAAAGGCTTCTAAAGGAGGTCTCCCTCCTCAAGGGCTTCCGAAGGAGGAGAGCCACGCACGGGAAGCCCGCCGTGGGAATGGGGATCAGGCACGTTCCTCTAGCATTCCCACAAATTCCTCCTGCGGCAGTAAGCCGAGACCTTGGGGTGTTCTACTCAGTGTCTCCTCACGGCCTCGCACTCCGTCTTCAGACTCACAGCCACCCTTGTGCTGGCTCAACACATACAGTAGTCAGAATTCTATTCACCAGCATGCAGCGCGCACGGCTCTCTGGGTCAGCGGCGGGCGCTAAACGTGCCACTCGGAAGACAATAAAGTTCTTCAGACAGACACGGAGAAGGAGAGGGAGAAGCAGCTTCCCCGGGAGGCGAAAAGAGCAAAGGGATATGTGCAGGGAACACGCGCTCCCGGTGGGTTCACACTTTGGTGAGGGCCGGCTCGTAGGGTGGCAGCCACAGGGGAGAGCTGCTGCAGGGGTGGGGGGATGCCAGGGCCAGAAGTGGCTCCAGAGCCTGGCTGGCCGCCTGTCAGAGCTGAGGGGCAGGAGGGGCCAAACCTGGAGGGGCTGTGAGTTGAGTCCTCCCTGTCCTCGGCTGCCCTTTCTTCTCCCGGAGCCCAGAATGGAAGGCGGGGAAGGGGTGAAGCGAGAGGAGTGACCTGCATAAATCACCAGAGGGCTGTGCTGGCCGGCCTTCGGAAACAGCCTCTGCAGCCTGGCTCTGGTGCCATGAGCTGCCCAGCTGGCCACTCGCTCCGCCCTGTCTACCCGAGGGGCCCCTTCTGTCCCTGGGATCTCAGAGGACACAACCGCCCTGACCGCGTCCCCGCAATGCAGTGCCCGGAACTGGAGGCCGGGAGCCCATGGCCTGGTCTGACCCTCCGGCACCAAGAGCCACGTCAGTTCTGACAGCAGCCTCTGCCCCGGAGAGAGGCCGCTGTGTGGAAGACGGATGCCTTCCAGTTGCGGGGCTTGGATGCCTCTTTGCTCTGCTCTGTCCCATCCCTCCTCCTTTTTAGATCAGCGCCCTTGTCACCAGTGTCACTACCTTCCTCCTCATCACAGCTAACAGACGGAGCTCCCAGGGCCAGCACCATCCTAAGAACACCACCCCATCCCAACCCCACGACAACGCGATGAGGAAAACCCTATCACCGTCTCATACAGGGGGAAACCGAGGCACACGGAAAGTAAGGCGCTTGCCCAAGGTCACACAGCAGATAGCGGCACGGCTAGGATTCTGACTCAGGCGGTCTAACGAGCCCCCTCGGAAGAGGCAGCTCTCTGGGGCGGGGAGTGGCTCCCCCCTCCTGTCCTCCCCTGCTCACAACCTGATGCAGGACCCCTGATATGAAACAACGGCTCTGTACCCCTTGCTGTCTTACAGCTGAGGAACCTGAGGTGCAGGGCAGGCTCGGGAGGCCAAGTGGCCGGCAGGAGGGCGCTCTGGACGGCTGCCCTCCGAGGCTGCCCTCCGAGCCAACGCGGGTCCCCCAAAGGTTCCTGTCCCGCTGACGGGAACCAGGGCCAGGCAGGGCCTGTTGCGCGCAGGGGGTGCCGCCCCTGCTGCCATGCACAGGAGGCAAAGGGAAAGACTGCCAGCCGAGAAGAAAGGGGAGCAGATGTCCGGACAAACGCGGCCACGTGTCAACAAAACAGGCACTTGAGTTCAAGACGCTGAGACAAAGGTGGCTGGCAAGGCTCCCCGAGGTCCCAGGAGTGCCCTCTGTGCCTGCGTGTGTTCCCAGGACCCACAAAGGCTGCAGCTGTGTCCCTGAGATGTCACCTTCCGCTCCTCCCACTGGGCCTCTGGCAACGGCAGCTCGCTGAAGGCCAACGGGTGGGATTCTAACAAACACCCCCTGCTCTGCAGAAGGCCGCCTCGTGTGACGTGGAGGGGATCCCGCCCGTTGTTTCACCGTACCCTTGAGGAAAGATGAGGCCAGCAGAGGGGAAACGCACAGGCTCATGATGGAGCCCCCAGACACAGCTGGACCCCCGACCACACCGTCTCTGCTGCTGGGCTGGGCCCCGCACCCACTGGACTCCCCCCTCCCCCTGTGCTGCACTGAGCCCAAATCCTGAGAGGCTTCCTTGATTCCAGAATGAAAGGTGCTGTGTCTCCAAGGAGCCTGGGAAATTCTGTACCTGTGCATATACACCTGCCTGGGCTGACCTCACCAAAACCAGCACAACTGAGAGGCCCCAGCCACGAGTGGGAAAACGTGTGTCCCGGTGGCCGCGTCTCCTTCCCGAAGCGCTGGCCCCCAGCCCCTGCCATGCTGCACGGCGTCTCCCACGCTGCCCGGCTCAGGGTGCTCACGACCGGGGAGCTCTGTCTGAGCTGGGGAGGCCCGGGAAACCCACCGGCCTCCCTACCTTGTATCCCAGGTTCCTGCGGATGTCACGTCGGGGGGGGGTGGGCAGGGAGGGCAGGGGACACGGAACTTGCCCTCCTCCAAACACAAAACCCGGGGCCTTTTCTTCCAAGGGAGTTGCACAAATTAGCAGGATCAGGGAGAAAGCAGGAGAACCCCACGGGGCAGCGACACACCCTCATCCGTTAAGAGGTTTAGCTGCTTCTCCTACTAAGGGCCCAGAGGACAGATGGGGTAGGCTGGGGAGGGCTTGGTCTTACCTTCGCGTCCTGCTTCGTGAGGAAGTCCACGAAGCCGAACCCTCTGTGTGTGCCTGTCCCGGTCATCTTCTTCGGCAAGCGGACGGTCTTCAGCTCCCCGAAGGTGCTACAAACAAAAGGCAAAACACAGCAGTTTAAGAATAGAGGCCTGCAAGGGGGCTGGGGTACATGTGTGGGAGGGCAGGACCAACTCTCACACATGAATCCTTTCTGGTTAGAAAAGAGAAGTACTTGTGGGGGCACGTGTGGAGGCACGTGTGTGTACACACACACACACACACACACACACACACACGCACATACCATACAACAGTGTTGCCTCCCCACCAGATATCACATGTTCCGGGGCATGACTGGCCTTCTCTCTTTTCAGATCCTGGCCATCACGGTGGGTGGGGAGGGATGACTGGGGTTGGAGATGCTGATGGAGAATTTTTGGTTCCTCTCTGACAGGCTGGCACACTCAGCCTCCCCTTGCCTGCGGGGCTATCTGGCAGGGGGCACGCAGCCCTGCACACGCGTGGCCAGGGCACAGGGCTGCTTGTGTGCTCGGGCCAGGGATCCGGACTCGGAGTCAGCAGGGTCTCCTGACCTGAATCCGCCTGCACGGCTGAGCTGAGCACACAGCAAGCCTGTGTGGAGCGAGCAGGATGAGCCTCTGCCCCCGGCCCCGGGCCCCGGGATGTTTCTTCAGTGCTCAATGCTGGAATGACACACAGCTACTCCCTTCTAAACCCCACGTCCCCTACCTCCGGGCTTTAGTTTTGAGATCTGCTAAGCCCAAGTCAGGCAAAGCTCTGGAGAAGAAAATGGCTTGGCTCCCCCTGACAGGGATCAAACAGGTAAACACAGCTTGGACCATCCCCTGCCCTCCCCCAACCCTCTCCTCCCAGATAAACGTTCGAGAAATTCCCAGACAAAAGGATCAGGCCTCTCTGGCTCTCCTGTCTCATTCCCCCACCCCAACCCTATCCCGATGGCCATTTATCAAATATATATGCACAAATTGCCACCGATAAATATTTAATGTGTACGGCATCTGAAGAGGTGTTATTTTATTTGAAAATCTACACACACTTGTGGGTGGCTAGGCACACGGCACATACACTCAATGGCCTAGGATGCTTCAGGGCCAAAGACCGATTGGGTAAAAACACAGTCAAGGCCATAAGCTCTCGTGAAATGATATAAGCTAAATCCGAGGCGTTAACCCGCAGCCCTGCCAGCATGACCAGGCATCTGCCAGCCCAATTTCTGAAGGCAGGATGGTGTGTAAATGCGGCATTATGAATCCTCAAAATGAATCTGCACGTCTCCTCTGAGCTCCCCCAGCAGCTCCCCCCACAGGCTGGCGACAAGGCCAGCCTCCCGGGGAGGGGAGGGGCTGGAGGGGGTAGGCCTCGGAGCCCTGTCAGTCTTCCAGGCCTGGCTGAGGCTCTAGCTCACCCGGAGGGGGCTCGAGGGGGTGTGGTTGGGGCCCAGAGGCTGGGCAGGTAGGGACAAGCAAGAAGGTGAGGTGGGAGGGCCTGAGGAGTGGGGCCTGCAAACCCTGCTTTATTCTGCCACCTAAAGGCTGAAGCATCCCATGACAGGCACTGCCTCTCTTCCTGCGTGGGAGCCCCCGAGCCTCGGCCAGGGAGGGCAGGGGCCAGATGAGTTTTCTCGTAGGCTCATTCAGATAAACGGTCCTTTGGCTCCAAGTTCTTCAGACAAACGTGGGGACCGCGGGGATGGTGCACCTGATGGCCATGAGGACCCAAGTGCGACAGTGGTCAGACTCACTAGTAAGAGAAGGCCTTAGCCAGCACCTCCCACGTACCCAGGCCATGCTGGGTGCTGTGCGGACAAGGGTGCGGACAACCCTGCCCCAGGCTCCAGGCTCTTGCAGGCCTTGGCTTCACCACTGCTTCAACTCCAAGCAGCCTTTGCTCATCCCCCCCTCCCCAGCAGTCAGGGCTCACCGTGCTTCTCAACCAGGGCACCGTGATGTGGACACCTGGGCACTCTCTGCCTTCCCCTGAGGCTGGAGCTCAGCTCTGCAACAGCAGAAACCACATCTATCTTGCTCATCAGGGTATCTGCAGCAAGGAGCCCAGTGCCTGGCTCAGAAGGGACGTCTGGTGGCATTTTGGAACAAACAAGCACACGGTAGCGACCACTGGTACCTTACCACTAACACCCAGAGGGCTGTGTTGAGTAGGACGCGACACAGGCCATGGGGTATGTACCAACAGCACAAATGTTCGTTAGTAGTCTTGCCATCCCCATTTCACGGATGGGGAGACTGAGCTCAGGGAGGCAGCGGTTCCAGATGTGAGTCTGGGCGGGTCTGATGGTAAGCAGGAGCTCTCTTTCCACGGTAATGTTTCATTGATCCTTCAATTACCCGCATGGGGACTGGCCACTTTCGGGACTGGGGTTCTCTTTCCGAGGCAGGGCCCCATTGGGCGTGAAGCCAGTGTGGGGCGACTGGGAATGGCCTGCTTGGACTCCGAGGGATCCAGTGACTTACCCAAGACCCCAGGGCAAGAGAGGGTGACTGAGTCCCAGTTCCCTCTGCTCCCGCCATGTGTAAACCACCTGCCTCTGCCCACACAGACTCCGATCCTGTCCCTTGACGGTCCCCCTGGCCTCTGCCCAGATTTCTTTGTAGGCTTGTCTAATTTCTGGTGAGTTAGCCTATGTGTGTGCATGAGAGAGAGAGGGGGAGAGAAATGGCTGAGGTTAATTCTTCCCTCTGCAGCGCACTGCAAGCTGCAGATGCCCTATGCATGGCAAGCAGCTAAGGGTCCGGAGAAAGGCAAGGAAAATAATTAAAAGGTGGAGAAAAAAGCTGATGAGGAGAGGCTGAAGGTGGTATGCTGATGTGGCCCGGAGAAGTGGCATCTCCGAGCTCGGTAGGGGGGCCACAGCAGAGGGGTGTCCTGGACCCACGAGGGAACGCGTGCACAGATCAGGGGCTCCTGTCCCAGGCAGCTGGGGGGCCTTAGGGAGGTCGCAGCCCCCATCTATAAGGCACAGAATACTGGGTCCGAAGACTCTAGTGGCTTCAGAAATCCTGTTATTCTTCAAGGGGACCAGGGAAACGGTCCTGATGAGCATGTTTCCCCCTTTCTTCTGAGAACAGCACGAGAGAGAGCTGGACTTAAGGAGCAGCTGCAAGATTAGGGTTAGATCTTAGAAGGAACTTCCCGATGTCTAGGAAGCCCTGAAATGAATGGGCAAGGCTTCAAGACACCATGATTGCTGCCATGACCCCAGCCACCAATGACCGGGTGCCTGTGAGGTGCTAAGCCTTTTTTAAATACACCGTTTCCAGGTCTAACGACTGTGGGGACAGTAGGGTGACTGCCTCTATTCTCCCAGGTGAGAAAACCGGAGGCCAGAGTGGCCAGGGGACCCAGCCACGTCCCCCGGGGCGTGCTTTCTCCCGGCTGCCACTTCTTTTTTTTTTTTTTTTTAAAGATTTTATTTATTTATTCATGAGACACAGAGAGAGAGAGAGAGAGAGAGAGAGGCAGAGGGAGAAGCAGGCTCCCAAGGAGCAGGGAGCCCGATGCGGGCCTCGATCCCAGGACCCTGGGATCATGACCTGAGCCGAAGGCAGATGCTTAACCATCTGAGCCACCCAGGCGCCCTCGGCTGCCACTTCTCCGGCCCAAGAACAATGCTGGGAAGGCGGCCGGCCCCGGCTGCTTGTGTAACTGTGCGGGATAATATAAGGCTGGTACTAATGATCTTGGAGTGATATCGAAAGAGAATTAAAAAGAAAAAAAAAAAAGGTTGGGGGGGAATCGATGAAGTACCTTTAGCTCCTTAGAGATAAGCGATAAATACCAGCCATTATTAAGGTTCTTATCGGACAGGAAGGTCCACGGAGCCATTTTTAAGAGTGGCTTTTGAAGGAAGTTCTGCATGTACCCTTGTCTCTGGGGGAGGCCCGGCAGGGCCACCAGGGACCAGAGAGGGAGGGAAATCGCGGGGCACCCAGGAGCTCCCCCCCCAGCCCAAACCCTGCCGCTCGGGGAAGGAGCCGCGTGCGCTCCCCACTGTGCAGATAATAGAAACCACAAAATAGCAATTACTGTATCAGAAGCTGTGAATAAAGAGGACATACCAGGCTTTTAAACATGGCCCTCCTTCCTTCCCCCACCATGCTCACACTTCATAACAAACTCACACCTCACTTTTCCAATTACTTCATTCACCTTGGGTTCACCAATTACTGCCCCACGCCGCAGCCCCACCCCCTCGGCCGCACCCAGAGCACGTGACTGCCGGCAGACCGGTGGCTTCTCCACACCTGGAGTTTGTTGTCACGTTTCTAATTCCTTCTGAGGTGTGTAGGGGTGGGAGGGAGAGAGGGGAGGGAGAGGTGGTGGGGGTGTGAGGTGTTGAGCAAGGCGAGCCAATTATGCCCAGCCCTCATAAACAGGTCTGGGCATGCAAATCATGTCTGCACACAGGCCTGAATGCAGACACAGTGTGCGTGCATGTGTGTGTGCGCGTGCGTGTGTGTGTGCGCGTGCGTGTCTGTCCGTCCGTCCACCGATCTCCTCCCTCCGCACACGCTGCGCAGCCCCCAACTGGACTCCAGCCCTGGCTGGCAGCTGCTGGGGTTTGGGCTCTGCTCCTGAAAAGGGATGAATCCTCCCCTCTCTCCCCTCCTCATTTGAAGCGATGGGATCAGGAGAAAGGAGTGAGAGAAGTGGGGGCGAGGCACAGAGAGCCCTCCAGAGATGCAGAACTTGACAGCTGTGCATCTGCTCTGATGCCTGGCTTCTGGGGCTTAATGAGCTGACTGGGAGGCTGGCCTGCCCCTCGGACCTGTACGCTGACACCAAGTGGGGGTCAGGCACACCTTGAAGAGCCTTGGCCCCTCTGCTCCCAGGACATAAGTCCTTATCACTCTCCTATTTGGGTTTGCCGGAGGAGCCAGCGGCGTAGCAGAAGTGCTGAGTCACGTGGGGAAGTTTGTTGGCACGCCTTCTCTTCCACCTGTGCTCAATGCACTGCTTGGGGGGGGGAAATCTCAGTTGTCCCCCAAGGGACCCAGAGTCAGACAACAGTGTGGTCTCGACAAGATGAAGGGGTGGTCTGGGATAA